CTGAAACAAGAAAACTAAAACTTAGCATGAAAAGTGTTTATTTTATTAAATTTGCAAATATGAACATAATATTACATGTATTATGAACACCACAAATGGCATAAAATTCATATCGATTGCATATTCAAGTATTGCAATGAAACAATAACAAAGAAAACTATACGTCGTGAAAAGAGTAAACTATAAACTGTGCTTTGTCAATTTATTCAGTCAAAATATGAATTATTTTTTTCAGTCTTAGTTTTCATGATAAAATAAACAAGACAAAGATTTCAAAACAATACTTTTTTCTTTTATTAAGACATGTCATCATTTTATTTCAGTTAAAGGATTTTATTTGATTGACTTCAAATAGAATCCTTCAAACCTTTATATTATAGTTTAGTGACTAGCATTTCTAATACTACATTAACTATCATATTATAAACTTAGAACAGTTAACTACCAAACAGAATTCATTGTAACATACACATTACTGTATATTTATAATTTGAATCACATGGGATTTTATTTGTCTCATGGGATTTTTTCTGTCCCATGGGACAACAAATATCCCATGGGACACAAAAAAATCCCATTGGATAATGGTCAATCCCATGGGATTTTGCCCTGTCCCATGGGATTATGAAAATCCCTTGTTTTTCTTAATCAAATTGCAAAATATATTTAATAATAACAGCAAAAAAGCAATGAATTTATTGAATCCCATGTAATACTGCACATTTTGGTTATATACATGACACTATAGCTCTAAGGAGAGGAGGCGGCGGATTTGCAAATGAGTGTTTTGCAAATTAAAAGTTACCAGTGTTAGTACACAAAACACTAAATAAAAAACTAAATATGACAATCTTGATCTTTCACAAAAAGAGAGATTGGCCACTCATATTCTACGAAAAGGTAAACAGTCCTGATAGCACACTTATGTTGAGATGTAAGGAATCAGGGAATCAAGATAAAACGAAAAGAGGATACTACTAACAGTTTAGTGAACCAAAACATATTGACACTGCAACAAACGTCTATCATATTTTTCTAGACTCGAGGGTACGGGTGACTTTCAACTTGGTTATACCGTATGTATTAGTATTTTGTCGTGGTTGCTGTATCAATAGTGTTTACCCTATATTTTCCTTTAATTTGAGTAAGCAATGTTTTATTTGCACGCAAAATTTACAAGATTTTTATTTTTACCCAATAGGTCATTTCGTAGCGAATTTGCAATGCGCAAAATACTACCCGGGGAATCATCAATAATTTATTTAACCAATGAAAAGACCGCGTAGCCCGAATTTTGAAAACAGAGGTTTTACGTACCAAACATGCCAAAGTTTCTGAGTAATATATTTTGTGAAAAATTTACCATTCTATTCCGATTTATATCGTCATAAAAATAAGGTTGCATTTCTTGCAAGATAGGCTCGACTGCAAATTAACACACAAAAATACAACTTGGGTATAACGTCAAGAAAGCACATTTTACTATGATAAATGAGAAAAAAAGAAAAAATGAAATAGTTTAAAGGAGACATGACACGATTTTCAATTTGTGTTTCAAAATGTTTATTTATACTTAACTTTCCCTAAAAATACATCGATAGCAATATAAGTGTCAAATATTTGGTAAAATGTGTATTTTAATGAGATTTTAATGCAACGATTTATCGACCTGTCATGTATGCATATTTCCATCCCGGAAGTCACTCAGAACGAGGCTACTACGTCAGTGGTTCCTTTCATTCATATTGACATATGGGTACAGTTCAAATTTAGTTTCGATTATTATCCAACAAATCGCATGACAGTGATAAACAATGATTATGTGTGATGCCGATGGATTCAACAATATAATTAAAATGGATATTGACATGATATTTTCTGTTTTTCTAATAACACGCGGACTTAGAAGGTGTAAAGATGGGACTTTTTAACAAGCCCAAACTACACTTCTTTCCACCCACTTTCATCCAGAGTTTGGGTCTCGGGTGCCATGCCATGAGTTCACCATAGGTCACAGGTGTACGGTACAGGTGATTGAGTTTCGCAATTTCAGGTTACGTTTGAAGTTGCAAGTGTCACGCCACATGGGGGATTGATAAGATATCGTTATTACGCAATATTACTTCATAAACTCTTTGTGTACATCCTGGATGTTGGTTTTGCCGAGGGCACAGGTGAGATTGGAATATATTATTGTTACAGTAATACAGGTACAACTACCTGATGTTTAATGAATACCTGTAGTACAACCATACAATACCTTATGCACCAACAATTAAATACCCTGACCAGGCAGTGTTGATAACTAATTATAGACAACCTGTATATAGATTTTATTTCTATTGCTTTTAAGAATAGGCAGATATAAAAAGGTTTATAACATTTTACTTGACTTCTTGAGATGGAAAAGTAATAAACCTGTATGCTTGCAAGTCTATAACTTCATAAGAAATTATTAGGCAAAAGCATAAAAAGCAAACAAGTGTCGTTGGCCTCAATCCTTTTTGTTGTCTTGGGGGGACTATTAGATTGAAGTCATGCTTGTCGATATCTAAATTTTATTCTACTGCCATTTAACAAGCACATATAGACAGACGACACTAACTGTTCGCCGCCGACAAGCATAAAAAAGTATAGATACAGTCCCGTAAAAATAGAATAAACAGGCTAAATTGTGTCCTACATTTCCGGTAACCAGAAATACCAAATAGAGGTATATAACACAAGGAACTGATACGAGAATGTGAATCATAAGTATTTTACATTCTTATATTGAACATCTAATATAGTTATTGACAACTAACTAGTTGGTAAAGATTCAGATGAAGAAAAACATTTCTTTTTAAAATTGAAACTTAATAATAAATGAAGAAAGTGTCGTTTGAACCAATTATTTGGTATGACCGTACGGCATCCAACAATGAGAAAACTCTATACCGTATATTCGGCTATAAAAGACGATAAAGTTTTCAACATGAAAATGTGAAACAGTTCTAACGAGAAAACTAACTTATTTATAACAAAATAATTTCCGCAGAAAAAATTTGACAGACATTAACCAACGACAACCACTAATCTACATGCTCCTGATTTAAGACAGGCACATTCAAAATGTGTCGGGGGTATATGTTTGTAAGCGCCTACCTCTCCCCCCCCCCCCCCCCCCAAAAAAAAAAAAGAACAACAAACGTGTGAAAGTGGTTTTACAGCAGTACATAAGAACTATAAAAACCAGTCTAACTCAAAAGATCGGTACGAAGTACAAAAACCACTAACGTAAAAACAATAGAGACAAAGCACAAATACTGTAAGCTAGACCAATGCCAAATACAACTAATACATAACTCATGTTCTCGAAGACTGAAGTATGTTACATGTATACATTTTCATGCTCAGTCCGATTGAAAATTTAACATTTATTCAAATGACCCATTTTTGAAGAAATTTTTGAAAATGAACATTATGTGTTGTGAATATTTTCTTGGACTCAAGCATTTTGCTGGACAGGTAGCAATAAACAAATTGATTGCTAAATGATATTTGAAAGAGAGGGTGGAAATATGTGAATTTGAATTTACTTTGTGTAATTCCTTAAATTTGAAATTAGATTTATAAGGGTTTGGATGAAATTGCATACTTTAGAAGAGTAATATAACTATGTTGATTATTCAACATAAGACTATACTATGTTTTCTTAAAAATGTATGGTTTTAAAAGGTAAATAACATCAAACACGTGACTAAATCACAATGCAGGTGCCTTCTTACCTTTCACCTGGTCAAGTATGCTATAGGTGTCAAAATTTAATTACTAAAACAACAGCCTCCAATAAATGTTTAATTTTATACATAAGGTGAGACGTAAATAAAATATTGAATTGAATTGTTTACATAAAAGAGGGGAAAGTAATAAAATTGTCAATTAAATATCCTAATGCAGAAAAAGTGTGACAAAGGATTTGTCACTATACAAATCCTTGGCGTGATGTATAGTTTCCTACCAAAAATATTATAAGCATAACTTTTGGTGATACTTTATACCTATTTAAAGTCTCTGCGTAACCAAAACATAAAAACAAAAAAAAAACGTACCCATTGCGAACGCCTTATTTGACTTTTACTATCGTTTTTTCTCTTTTTTTCTTTCTGCTTCTGGCGCACACATAATTATAATATTACCGTAACAGAGAGAGAGAAAAAAGAACAATTTGATCATCAATTATTATAAAATTTATATTTTCAATCATGATTAAAAGTAGTTTTATTTAAATAAAAAAAAAACGAGGAAAGCGGTTTATTAAATTTATTCATCAGACAAACCCATATGTATGGTCACAATCAAATATATATCATTGACAATCCGATCGGTATTGTCTGAAAAATCGTCTTTGTTGGACTTTTCGCATGAAGAATTAATATCCTTTATTGGTTTTTTCCACACACAATGGCTCAAATTGATTAGCTCAATTGTCTTTGTTGTTTGTCAGTAATCGGGAAAAGTGCTGTCAATACCGTCCATAGTGTATCGACATCGTCCAGTTAAAGACATTTTCCCAGCTTGTAACCACTGACGTAAGCACGATCACGTGATCATTATCTAATTAAAAATCATTCATTATGACAAGCGCTGGATTCTTTGACCTAAAAAATGCCGATTGATCAGGTTTTGACCAGCAAAATTGTACAAAACATGTTTTAAGACTTATATTTATTAATTTAATAAAAAAAAAAAGAGAGTAAGAAAAAAAAATCTTGTCACGTCTCCTTTAAAAGAAACAGACTGCGTTAATTATCCCACATATTCATATCAAATTGAAAAAAAAGTCATTGAAATACTTCAATGAAATTGGGTTATTTGATTTTCATCATCCAGTTAAATCCATCAAAAGAATGACTTTGTAATCAATCTGCGTTATTAATTATTGTGAAAACACCTTTAAAATACTAAAATGACAGACAAGGGACTAAGTGATTCTTTGTTCTGCAAGATAAAGAAAAAAAGAAACTATATTTCGCTTTATTTTTCACAAACAAAATGCCTGTGCGAACGACAACTTGCATCGTCCATTTTTAAGTTCCCATGGTACACCTGTACACAATCCTGTCGGCCACCATAATTATTGGGTTCCCCTGGAGACCATCTAAAGAATATTTGAAAGTCAAGTGATTTAGTTTTCAACCACACTCCTTCGGAATAGATATCTGTCAATCCAATGTAGAAATCAGGAAAATCTGTAAAGTAAAATCGATTTGTTTTAGACTAGAGGAATAGTTTACACTATGAATATTAAAAGTTATATCTTCGCTAGTTATTGACAATGATAAAAATACTTTAAAAAAACAAACTTCTGATGCATAAAAAAAGAATATATTTTTATCATCCTATGCTTTCTAAAATAAACTTACTTCGGGCTTTTGCGAGGTTTATCACTGTCAAGTATTCATATTGTCCATCTATTTCAACTAGAGCTCCTCCAAGTCGTCTGCAATAGTACTGTAACATAAAGTTATCAACATTAAAATTGATTGTAAATCAAAAGAATATTTGATTTCTTATTTTTTATTTCTGACTAGGTGTGTTCTCCATCGATATTTTGAGATAAAGTTTCCGTTTTCTTTTGAAAATTGTTTGAATTCCATGCATTTAAAAAAAAGTTGCAAATGAAAACGGAAATCTATAGGAGCACGTGCATTACAAGTTCTTTATTTTTTAAAGCATATTTAAAAACCAATTTTATAATGACGGTGATTTGTTTGCATTCTTGATGGATAACAGCAATGGCTACAGGACAAAGGTGCATAAACAATATACTGCAACATAAAATGACAACAAAAAAGGAAAATAGATATCAAGAAAATAAAAAAACTAATTTTCAGGTGGGGAGGGGGTGTTAGGATTTTGAAAATGATTATCTTGGCCTGGTTAGAGCTGAAAAAATTACCTTGTATTAGACAGGATAAGAATTCATTTTTTGCAACTAGAATTGCAGAAAACTGTTATGTGCAAAGCTTTACATACATTGTCATGGCAAAGCCGCGGAAAAAAATAAATGCAAGTAGCAACAAATGAAATTAAATACTCAATCCGCCAAAAATCCTCTTGCACCCTCCCACAAGGTAAATTTTGTTGCGAACATAAATACAGAAAAACAAACACTGAAGATATCATATTTTCCCTCGTGTTTATCTATTGCTTTCAATTCGCAGTTTCATAATCTGATGCATTTTGGGTTATATTTTCAAAAAAGCGTCCACCAAAAGCGCTAGCGTTGTAACTGGCTGACAACTTCCTAAACAATGGAATTTTAACCACTGACGTGACATTATTTGCATTTTGGGGTACGGCCAATGGAATTACCCATAATCCTTTAAATTTTAAAGCAGCCAATTATAAAAGCAGAAAATCATTACACAAACGGGGTTTTATAATGAGAAACGTATACGTCATATCAAAATAAGTCAACAAAATATTAACTTCAAGGAAAAGAAAATTAAAAATTCGGAAAAAAAAGTCATCCGATATGTTTTTGCTCTTATTGGTCTATTTAAGATGAATTTAGTTGAGCTATTTGTATCGGTATTTCTGTGGTCTTTTTCATTCACACACGTGTAATTAGCTGTGCCTCGGCGTCTTGTGTTTTTTGTTTTTTTCGCGCTAACGTGTTCTAAAAAATATATGCTTCAGAGTCCATGGAAGTTAAGCGAACAATCAATCATCTCATGACTTACCATTGCTGCAAAGTAGTGAGTTGAGAATCGACTGAAGTAATAACATCTACCATTCCGTTCTACCAAACCATTGCCGCAGTATCTTGACGATACGGCTGTAAAAATATTTACGATTAAAAGTATGATATGAATATGCATTGTAATATTTTAATAGCCCGAAAATAATTTCTCTCGCTATTCTAATGTATAGATATTGTATCAGTGTTATCTTATGAAAGTTTAAATGTATTCAATTTGTCATTCCTTTGTCCGGCCAAGGGTCCATGTTTTTGGTTACGTCAGGATCTTTTATTTAGTGAGGAGTGTTGTTTGGTTTTTTTTCTGATTTTTCTTTCCTTCCTTCGTTTTAATTGTTTTTTTTTAAATTGTTGTATTGATTTGTTTAAATCTTGATTATATATCAACTAATATCTGTATCTAAGTGTTTTATAATTATATGTTCTGAGATCCAAAATTGTGCGAAAACATTCAAGTTTACATTTTCGTTAGGGAGGTTAAAGTTAAAATGCAAATTAGATATCGTTTTATGGAAACTATTTTGAGTGCTTCTTGACACTTACCCCTTATCAATGGTTTAAAAAGTCGACAGATATATTGTTCTTTGATATTGGAGAAATTGTTCGTTTTCATTTCCTTAAGATGTTAAAATTAGTAAAGTTTACACTTTAGATGTGCTTTGTTCGATGAATTTCTTGATTTTACATTTCCAGGATGTGTTGCTTATTTTACATGTGCATTATAAAACGGACTTATCATATTCATTACCCCCACTTCAAAATCCTCGTTGTTGAGCAGGGGACATAGACAAACGAAAGAGGTACTTATCACTGGAAAATAAATAAATAAATAGAATATACCTGTGTTTACCTAAATAGGTATAATTTACCTGTATTTGTCTGCAAAACGAATGCGCGCAAACGTAATGAAACGCTGTGCGCAAACTTAATGACTTTACTCACAAATGTAATGCACCAGTTTTTATGTATATGATTTATTTACATCCCGGGATTTCTACATGGAACGATTTTATATATCTAATACTGCAAATTGTCTTTTTGTTCGAAAATTTGATCTTCGAGAAGAAACTGACAAATCGTAAGAACATGTGAAATTGAAGAATGCACGTGTCACAATTTCTTAGACAAAAATAATATACAATTTGATTTAAATTGTAAATCTTAATTAATTCTAAGTCATGATAGTGAAGCTATCAAACTTTAGAACGGCTATAGCCACTTTTTTAACAATAATTTTCAAGGTTGTTACCAATTTAAAAAATCTGGTTTGATCGATTTCATTTTTAGTTTCTATATGAAAACAAAACTTCTAAACTTACAGTCAAGTAAGGATATAATCACTAATTAAACCGTAAACTGATGAAGACCAAACATCCTTTCTACAAGCAGAACAGCTTCAATTGCGTGATTCGAAAAACGACTGATAAATACGTTGTGTAATTTTTAGATCAAGTTTCAACCGTTTATTTTTCACTTACGTGTTTCATTTTTGTACAAATACTCAGAACAGTCGAAAATAATTAGGTTAATTATTCTCATCCATGATTTGATTTTTTTGAAATAACCATATAGTATAGGAAAAATACCGTCAAAAAATTCTAATTTATTCACTGATTTACAGCTTAAAATCCAATGTATAGTTTACAGTTATGGTCTAAGGAAAGACAACTGAAAAGGTTATATTATACTTCTTATATCGAATAAAATATTTTATGATTGTTCGATGATGCCTAGTATATAATCTGCACAAACCCTCATGTGATTAAGAAAGCTATGGGTATTGTGAATTTATTGTCCCCCCCCCTCTCTCTCTCTCTCTCTCTCTCTCTCTCTCTCTCTCTCTCTCAAAAAAAAAAAAAGAAGTAGGTAAACGAATTCTTTCATGCATTAATACTGCGAATGTAATATATAATCCAGTGCGAAATGATATTTATCGATAGTAATGAAATGCCCTTTTATCATCTCTCTCTCTCTCTCTCTCTCTCTCTCTCTCAAAAAAAAAAAAAAGAAAAAAAAAGAAAGTAGGACAAACGAATTCTTTAATTCATTAATACTGCGAGTGTAATATGATATCCTGCGCGAAATGATATTCATCGATAGTAATGAAATGCCCTTTTATCATTAAGTATCACATATTTCAGTAGCATTTATTATCGTTCAAATCTATGATTCATACAGTAAGTTTGCAATGTATTTTTCATGCTATCTTGTTTACCTCTTTACAGTAACAAAATGTGGTATGACTGCCAATGAGACAACTTCACGGCTGAGAACAAACGACTTACATGTAAACATATAGTTCACCGTACGGCATTCAACTATGAGCAAAACTCATAGTCTATAGTAAGTTACAAAAGGCCCCGAAATAAAAACAATGTAAACAATTCTAACGAAAAAACCAATGCACTGATTTTGTCTGTGTGCTAGCAAATATCGTTTAACGCGGAAACAGTTTAATGCATGCTTACAATGATAAATTATGAATACAATATTGTTTAGTATGCAGAATGTTTAACTCTTAGGGAAATTAATGCTCTACTTTTAAGGCATATTTATCAGGAAAAAAAACCAGTTAAACTATGGACAAATATTGCATCATATTTATATCTACTTGACATATTTGATACTATAGTACAATTCAGTATAATTAACCTGATCATGTCACATATCAAGAGAAGTCTACTTAATTCAATGATGTTACCAGTGTATGTAATGTGTGAATCCTAAAATGTCATTTTTACTGTATCCGTGATGAATTTCTGATGTAGAATGATAAATAAACAGACGACAAATTCAAGTTTTTTAATAAAATAAGAAATAATATATAATGTGTACTGTTTTTATAAATTCATGATATAGGTATGAGATGCGGACGGGTTTTCATCGCGCCTACAGCCATCCAAGTGCAAAATTGATACACAAATAGATAAATATTAAGAATAGTTCACGAACAGAGCGTGCAAGAGATTTAAAAGTAGCAGTTAAGTTTCATTTGCAGAAAAATGTACCTTTTAACATAATTATTAATGTTGTTTAACTTAAAACAGGTTTTGTTATTAAGATTGTTGATATTGAATCAAATTCCACTATGCTGTTTTTGTTATTCGATTCATGTTTACTGTCGAGTAATGATACTAGGCTTTCATTTTCAGGGAGATTCATTTCTATTGTATATGCGATGCATTTTCACAGAAGAAAATTAATTAATTTTCATTACATAAAGTCTTAATTCAGCCGACTCTCTAACAAAATTTATGAAGTCAGAAGGGTTGAATATATATGCATACTTGGTGAGTGAAAGTCTGAGGTAATATATCAATAAATTCCTTAAACATGGTATTTATTGCTAATATAGTCAATTCTATTTTCTCAAATAATTTGTCCTGATCTATATGTAGGATAAAATTTATTCTTTCCTATGACACGTCATCATTAAATACATATATTGGACAGTTAAGCCAATCCACGTCACCGGAAAAGCAAAGTTTCTGTTTCGGTCTTAATCTACATCGCATACTTATAAATTAAACGTCATTAGAGCTAATTTCCTAATGCTTGTAGTTAAAAGGTGTGGTTGGCCTTGATTGTGTAAATGTTGCCTAAGCATTGTAATTAAGATTGAGCAAACGTTTATACAAACAAAGCAAGCAAGCCAACCAAACCTTTAAACGACAAGCGTTAGGAAAATAGCTCTAATGGATGCATTTGAGATAACAAAGAGCATTCACAAAACGATCTTCATTTCACGATTGAATGAGTGGAAACGTTTTCATCTTGCACAAACAGTTGACGCTTGGATGACTGGATACTTGATATTTATCATGCCATTGTGTATAAATCTTAAACAGTAAATAAAGTTCGAGCAACAGTCGCGTCACCTTAAATATGCTTGAATTTCTTATATGGCGGTGTTACAAATAAGCCAATATGCAATTGTGAGAATACAAAGAAATGTTGAAAACAGTTTATTGTTACATGTTTAAATGGTTCTATACCACGGGGTATAACCGCCGTACAGTTGATTCCGGACGTTAATTGCTACATCTCGAAGCAATGTTGGTAGATAAACCGTTCTTATATTTACACCAAAGACTTATTGACTTATTGTTCAGTTAAGTATTCAATGTTTATGAAAACAAAGTTTACTGCTCCTGGCAGCATTGTATATAATTTATATTACATGAACACCATGTGACTATTTTAAATAGACATTTTTGTGAATTACTTGTAAACATCGCGAAACAAACACTATGTGTAACTCAAACTTGATTAAACTACAAATAGAGCATAGTTGGTTGGCTCTTTCACTAAATGCGACCGTGTATTTTGTGCTTTGTTGTTGTTAAAATACATAATACAAATAAGAAACCCGTTGTTTTAATTTTATTTGAAGACATTTACTTGAAAAACTGACATCAGAATGTTGACACTGTACGATATATTCTCTTTGTAGTTTGTTTTCTTTCTTTAGTACCGTTCGTTGTACATTCTTGCAATGTTCGTTGTGCAAAAGCCTATCAATACGGTAGAAATATGTATGACACGGCGTGATAAATGTTCAAAGCTTTTTTAAGCGAGTTATACAACTTTTCAAAGAAAATTCGTCGTAGAAAAACGTTATATTCATGGATGTTCTGCTCCAGTAAATTTTCGGATCCATGACAAGCTAAAAGCAAACTCACCAACAATATTTGAATATTCATGATATGAACGTGGTTATACCCGTGTATATTCAGGTAAGCATCTACGACTAGCTTGCATTTCAAATTGTAAATATCATCAATATTAAAGTCATTTAAAAACTATTTTCAGTTGTTGTATGTCGAATAATCATATAAAACGACAATGAAAATTCAGCGCACTTCAAAAAATTCCACATCAGAAATGATTACACTTACAGTGATAATTCATCGCATCTATAGTTAAAATGAATCGCATTCAGTAATCAATATTATTGATTCTGCTTCTTAAGTAACACTTTTTTTGGACTTTAATCCTGTTTTATACATTAAAAAATTGCATTCTAATGAAATTCTGTTAAAACATACATTCAAATCTTTTATTTTGTATTTTCAAAAAGTAAACAAACGCAGTTTTTCCCATCATCCTTTATTCTACAATAGACATACTCGCATACAACAGGGAAAATGAACTAACTGGATTCGCACTTTATATACACTGGTTTCTACTACGAAAACGTTATGTCAATAAATAAATTCTGCGCCTACTTCCTTGGACAATTAAGATAGAATCAAATGTTTGGTACACTATTTTCTTTAAACAGAAACTTGACATTTTCAATAAAAGATACTTAATAGTAATTTTATGCATTACAAAAGTTCCACTATGCGCACATCACTCTAGTTAGAACAGCTTTCTATAACGATAACATATATCCTTTTGTAGTATTTAGCTCTACAAACCTAAAGACACATAAATGTTAATAAAGTAATAAGGAAACGTGGTAGTATTGCCAAATGAGACACCGAATTATATATCAGATAGCAAAGGACAAGAATGTTAACAAATATGGGGCAGTTGTTGTATGTCGAATAATTATATAAAACGACAATGAAAATTCAGCGCTTTTCAAAAAATTCCACATCAGAAATGATTACACTTACAGTGATAATTCATCGCATCTATAGTTAAAATGAATCGCATTCAGTAATCAATATTATTGATTCTGCTTCTTAAGTAACACTTTTTTGGACTTTAATCCTGTTTTATACATTAAAAAATTGCATTCTAATGAAATTCTGTTAAAACATACATTCAAATCTTTTATTTTGTATTTTCAAAAAGTAAACAAACGCAGTTTTTCCCATCATCCTTTATTCTACAATAGACATACTCGCAAACAACAGGGAAAATGAACTAACTGGATTCGCACTTTATATACACTGCTTTCTACTACGAAAACGTTATGTCAATAAATAAATTCTGCGCCTACTTCCTTGGACAATTAAGATAGAATCAAATGTTTGGTACACTATTTTCTTTAAACAGAAACTTGACATTTTCAATAAAAGATACTTAATAGTTATTTTATGCATTACAAAAGTTCCACTATGCGCACATCACTCTAGTTAGAACAGCTTTCTATAACGATAACATATATCCTTTTGTAGTATTTAGCTCTACAAACCTTAAGACACATAAATGTTAATAAAGTAATAAGGAAACGTGGTAGTATTGCCAAATGAGACACCGAATTATATATCAGATAGCAAAGGACAAGAATGTTAACAAATATGGGGCACTGTAAAGTCTTCAACAATAAGCAATACCTACCATATAGTCAGCTATAAAAGGACTAAAGAGAGGCGAAAGATAATAAAGGAATGTTACACCATGAATAGTTTATATCCAAGCAAATTTGTGTCTATGATAACAAATACTTAAAAAAAAGCCTCTGATGCCTTT